TGTGCTACTAGTACTGGTAGAAGTACTACTTGTGGAAGTACTAGTAGTTGAAGTACTGGTAGTTGATGTCGTAGTTGTTGAAGTTGTACTGGTAGTACTAGTTGTGGCTGACGTGCTTGTTGAGCTTGTGCTAGTAGTACTGGTTGTTGCTGATGTGCTTGTTGAACTTGTGCTTGTAGTACTTGTTGTCGCTGATGTAGTAGTAGAAGTTGTACTAGTAGTGCTCGTTGTTGCTGACGTCGTTGTCGAAGTTGTGCTTGTAGTACTAGTTGTCGATGTTGTACTAGTGGAAGTTGTACTTGTAGTACTTGTTGTCGATGTTGTTGCGGTTGTACTAGTGGAAGTTGAACTAGTACTACTTGTTGTCGATGTTGAACTTGTCGAAGTTGTACTAGTAGTACTTGATGTACTCGAAGTACTTGTAGTGGCTGTGGTTGTAGTACTAGTTGTCGCCGTCGTAGTTGTCCCTGTTGTAACGGTAGTATTAGCTGTTGTCGACGTACTTGTAGAAGTTGTGCTTGTAGTACTGGTAGTTGACGTCGTACTTGTCGAAGTTGAGCTTGTAGTGCTTGTTGTTTCACTAGTTGTTGTTGAGGTTGTGCTTGTAGTACTTGTTGTTGCACTAGTTGTTGTTGACGTTGTGCTCGTGCTACTTGTTGTCGATGTTGTCGCTGTTGTACTAGTAGAAGTTGTACTAGTAGTACTTGATGTACTCGAAGTACTTGTCGAAGTTGAACTTGTCGAAGTTGAACTAGTAGTGCTGGTTGTTGACGTTGTGCTTGTTGATGTTGTACTTGTAGTGCTTGTAGTTGATGTTGTACTAGTTGAAGTTGCAGTAGAAGTACTAGTTGAAGATGTAGTAGAAGTACTGGTGGAAGATGTACTAGAACTACTAGTGGAAGATGTACTGGAAGTACTAGTTGTTACTGTTGTACTTGAATCTGTTGTACTTGTGGTAGTTGTTGTATGAGTAGTTGTAGTTGAGGTTGTACTCGTAGTACTTGTTGTTGATGTTGTACTACTGGAAGATGTACTAGTAGTGGTTGTTATCGATGTTGTACTTGTTGAAGTTGTACTAGTAGTGCTTGTTGATGTTGATGTACTTGTTGCGGTTGTGCTTGTAGTACTTGTTGTTGATGTTGTACTAGTCGAAGATGTACTAGTCGAAGAAGTACTACTAGTGCTAGTTGTTGCTGACGTCGTTGTCGAAGTTGTGCTTGTAGTACTTGTTGTTTCACTAGTTGTTGTTGATGTTGTACTTGTTGTTGCTGTTGTTGCTGTTGTCGATGTTGTTGCTGTAGTTGATGTTGTCGATGTTGTACTAGTGGAAGTTGAACTAGTAGAAGTTGTACTAGTAGATGATGTCGTAATGGAAGTTGTACTGGTCGATGTTGTAGTAGTGGATGTTGTACTTGTAGTACTTGTTGTTTCACTAGTTGTTGTTGAGGTGGTGCTGGTAGTACTTGTTGTTGACGTCGTAGCAGTAGAGGTTGTGCTTGATGTACTTGTTGTTACACTGGTCGTTGTTGATGTAGTACTAGTAGTTGTCGAAGTACTAGTTGTAGAAGTGCTACTAGTTGTAGACGTGCTAGTAGTTGAAGTACTTGTTGCTAAAATATGAACAAAATAGGCGATGAATTAATTTTAAACAGCTATGAAAATCTTTTTATTGTTACTTGATGTTGAAGTTGTACTTGTAGTTGATGCTATTTTACAAAAAAAAAGAGAAAATTAAATTTAAAGTTTATATATTATTTATTTATATTCATTTAATAATAATCAATCGATTAATTGGAAAGAGGATTTTGTTTTTTCGATAATCGATATTTCCAATATTCAGTAGTTTACCTCCCTTTCCGCTCGAAAGATATCGTCTAGTAGCACTATGGGATAAATATTTTATAAATAATGTAATACTGAGAGATTCAGAGTTATTGAATTCTTTAACTAATGACTATATTTTTTGGTATAAAACTTTAAAAAATTCTCCAATTGGCAAAACAAATATTTTTTTTTAAAGGAAAGTCTTCTATAAGATATTTGATTGAAATGAAATAAGATTCTATTCGAAAAAATGTTATTCAAATACAAACTTCGTTATCTCATTATGATTAATATTATTAATTGATACTCAGTTTTTATGAACGTTTTTTTCTAATTTCTTTTTATGTTAATACGTTGGCAAGTTCATTTTTTAAGTGGAAGAAGTAAAATAGTGTTGCGTGTTGTTGAAGAGATTTAAACATAATATATTTTTGTGTTATGTATCGCACACACTTAATTAATTAATGAAAGAGAAAAATGTTTTTATGTAGGTACATAAACTGAAACAATTTGAACTCTAATAATTCCTAAGTATATTTAATAGAATTCTATATCTTCTTTGATTTGTTTATTTATCTTTTTTTTCCTATTGAACATGTCTGGTTTACTGTCTAATAATAGAATTATTTTGTTTTTACAGTAAAACTGGAAGAAATTATCTCTGTTGATCTAGAATAGATTGAACATAGAAATTAGTCAAGTTAAATAAGAATTCTAGACGAAAATAGTTTAAGTGAATAGTCTATTTCAAATGCTGATTAGATGAATCGAAGAAAAATCAACTCTAAGAATTTTCAATAAACAATCATTTCAAAGGAACAAATGTAAAAATTTTTTGTTATTCCGATATAATAACTTCCATAAATTGAGACATAAATGTATCTAGATGGATTTCTCAATTTTTTAAGATATAAGCCTACAGTATTTAAAGATTTTTTTAAGGATGTACTTTGTCATATGTAATTGTAAAAACTTATTATTGATTACAGATTCCACTAATCACTGGTTTTGTCTCGTTCAAAAGCCTCTAATAAATAGAAAAATTCTTAAAATTTTTAGTCGTGGATAATCTATGAAATGAATTATATTTCGTCATAAAGATCAAAGATAATTAAGAATTAGTGATTGCATTTACTTTCGATTATAGTCAATAAATAACAAATATATATTTGATGAAAATCTTAAGAATTAACAAAGTTAAAATTGTTTTTCTCTAGAACTGTTGAAAGAAATTTCCCTATTTTTAAATCTATGTAAATAAATAAATATCAAAACTTTACTAGTTGTTGTTGTCGTCGTTGTTGTGCAAGCACAAGGACACATGCAAAGAAGGGCCTCAGTTGTTGTTGTTGTGTCTCCTACTGCACGTGCAATACGTAGATGAACGTCATTTTCTTGATATGATAGAAATGAAGCTCCTAGAAAGATATTATTATGTAGATATATTTTAATAAAATAAATCTATCTTACGTTCAATTGATAAACCATGAATAATACTGATAGAACAAAGACATATCCACAAAATGAATTGAGAAGAATTCTAATTTAAGAAAAGAAAAATTAGATAAAAGATAAGAATGAAACAATAGTTTTCATATGTTCTCATTCTAATTGAAACTAATAAATGATTTAGATTTTTTTGAAAAATTTATTTTAAAATACTGAATTCTGTGACATAAAATAGTGCTAAAGTTTTTCTCCGAGCGATTAGTTATATTAACTAATGACAATTGTCATGTTCGTATCTTTATTAAATAATGAAATTTGAAACCGAATAAAATTTCATAATGTAAATAATATAAAAGTTGTGAAAGTGTGAATAACAAAGCACTTTTTTAAATATGTGAAGCAGCATATATATTTATTTACATTGATTTTATGTGAATATATTTAACATTTAATCAATAGTATTATCTCCATTAGAAATAAATCATAATAGAATATTTTGTTTCTATAAGAATCCTTTATTTCATGAGTAAATTTTAATAGATGGAAAAAACTTATTGAAAAAAAATTGTTTAATTTAATTAATTGTTTAGAAATAATATGAAATTCTTGTGTGAACTTACCATTTTGTTAAATTGTCTGAATGATCGTGTGATTGTAATACGTCGAATTTGATTACGAATTTTTCATAAAATATTTTAGCACTGAATTGTACGTAAAAAACATTCTTTTTTATATCTATAAAAAGAAAAAATGATGAAATACGTTTTGTTGGTATTGCCGTAAGAAATAATTTCATAAAAAGTATTTTTATGAGACCATTTTTCAATGACATTTTCTTGTATGCGTATGTTTTTGTTTGAAATGTTTTTTAATAGCATTTTCAGGTAGTATTGTAGACGATCGGATACTTATGTATGCTTCTCAAACATTCAAACGTTTTTTTATATAAAATTGTTTTTCGTTGTTCTTTTTTTCTTTCTTCTTTTGTGCTGTTGTCATACCTTCATAATTGGATGTTTGCTCGATTTACATTTCGACAAGAAATCTTACGTTTTTCACAGGATGTCTATCTAGGAATTCTACTCTTTCAATGAAATTAAATAAAATATTAATTCAATACGAACATTTAAATATTGTAGGTTTTTGTGGAAAAAAACAATTTTGTTATTTTTCAATATTCAGAATTAAATTCAACAGAAAATGATTTGAAAAGAAAAGAAGATCTCGTGTATCAACTTTTGTTTAGTACATACCAAAATTAATGATAAAATTGTATTCTATTTGATCATAGTAAGTTCCACATTGAATCATCCACTGTCTCTATATGTTCTAATAAAAATTCAAAATATATATTATGAGATATATTATGAAAAAAACTGTAGAATATATATATGACAAGGCAGATTATATAATTACAGTTTTGTTTTCGAAGTGAATAAACTTTTAAGCAATGAAATTTGGACTGTAAAACAAGGTTTGTTTTTTGGTAGATGATGAATTGATTTTTTGTTAATTTAGTATTCTATGATGTTGAAAGTATTTATTAAAAGAAAAAGAAAATATTTGAGAAGATGTGGCTTGAGACATTCTACACTCACGAAAGTAAAGCTTATCGTGATTGTTTAAAAAGAAAACAAAGTTCGATGCGAATCATTTTTTTTTGTAATGCCACACCCTTCATTGTCCAAAATTTTGTGCATTTAGAAAACTAAAAGTACAATTATCAACAGATGACGTCTTTTCTAAATTCTAAATTTTTTTCTTAATGTATCTTATGCCATATTTTATTTTTTATTAGAACATACAAACAAAATGAACATTGCAATGCCAAATTGACTATGATTATAAATCTTATGAAAAATTTCTTATTATTCTAATATGAATTAAGTTAGAATAAAATCATTTCGAAAGAAAGTTTATTTAAACTTACCATAAAGAATTCCGAGATTGATATATTCAGTAAAAGTCTCTTGTAAATAATTGATAAAATAAGAATATTTTTCTATATTCTCTTACCTAGACGAAGAGAATTATAAACGAAACAATACTTCAAATCTCGCATGACATTTTTTTCTAATAATCAGAAATATTAAGTTTATGTTCGTATTCTCTTTTCAATACAAAATAGAATTTTCTCTTTTTTTCTCTCGATGATTTTATTCAACAAGGTAAAAATTTAAAAACGTTTATTTTTTCTCAGATATTTTTCATTGTTAATGCCATTTGATTAAATAACAAAAAAAAGTACATTCAATGTTCTCTCACAGTTACATAAAAGTATTCGACCTTAAATGTCCAATCGTATTGGTATTCCATCATTTAATTGTGCTGAAAGATAGAAACATCTATGAAAAATAATCGAATCATTCGTGTTATATTACTTAAAACAAAAAAAATGAAATATTATTGAATACTCAGCCATATTCTATTTAAATAAAGTCACAAATAGATCGAGATTCTAATTGATATGTTAATCAAAAGAGAAAATCTTATTTGATATCATTAACATGATTATTGATGAAGAAGATTATTTTAATTTAATTGAGAAATATTCATATATTTTTCAATTAGAATAAAATTTCTTTGTTAATATTAATTATGAATAAATTAAAAATTGCTTTTGATTCTATCTCATTTTATGTTTCAATATTTTAATTAAGTCTTTAGTTAATAAATTGAATATCTTTATAAATTAAGAGATGATTATTGCTAATTCACTATGAAAAGATAAACCAAAATTTTATTTTGAATTAAAATTCAATATTATAAAAAAAAGTGAAAAGAATTGAAATAAAAAGAAAGAATTATAATTGTTCAGTATTTGTTAAATATTTTTCCATTTGTTGTTCTTCTTCACTTATAGGTAAATTTTGTTTATTGATTGGAATAGTATTATTTAAATTTTTGTTTGAATTGATTTTTTTTTCATAAATAGTACTTATAATAAATGCAATAGTAAATAATATTATTGAAAATATAACACAGATTATTAATAATGTTGGAAAATGTTTTCTATTCGTATCCAATACAATACCTTTGATTTAAAAAAAAATTATTAAAGAAAATTATTCTTGTTTTTTTATTCAATAGAAAAAACTTACCACCAATTTTTTGAAAAAACATTCCACCAGATGCTGAACCACATAGAAGAAGACCGATAAGTAATGGATTAGTATTTAATCTTTGATTTAAAAATCCAAATGATAATGGAAATGTTGGAGAAAATATAAGACCAGTAAATGCACCAAGGATAAGAAGTGATGTACTTGTTAATGTTATTTGCCATACAAATATATACCATCCAACTGCTACTGATAATCCAAATACCCATAAACCAATTAAACAGAGATGAACTGGAATATATACAGTTATTACCATACAGATTAAACGACCAACCTAGAAAGAAAATAAATCTAGACTTCTTAAGTTTAGAAGAAAAAGAAATGTATTTTTACTGAATAAGAAAGCCAATAAAGAATCATATACCAAGTTGCACCACTTGTTGAAATTTCAAATTCAGGTGATTTAACAAATGCAAAAAAGAATTTACCAAATGTTTGATCATTTCCACTAAGAAAAAACATATAAAAAATCAAAACAATTGACATTAATAAACCATAAGTAAAAAATCCTTTTCCACATGATTTTGGAGAATATTGAGAAACATTTTTTGTTTCAATTTCAATTTCTTTTTTTTCATTAGCAATTGTTGTTGAAACAGATGAATATTCTACTGAACGATTTGTAAGAGCTTCACGTTGAATTCGTTGTTCACGTATTGCAAATATACAATGACCAATACATATTAATAAGCAAAGACCTGCTGATATTGAATATGGTGTTTGAATATTTGATGTTTGACTTATCGGTGATGTTGTCGAATCTTTTAATGCAGGTGTAGTTATATCTTCAACAAGAAATGGTTTAACAATAACATTAGCAAAAACAGCTCCAAAACCATAACCCAAATGAACAGCATTTAATGGAGCAGCTGCATTATCACCCCACATTGCTAACATTAAACTAGTACCACCTAACAAATAAAATTTCGTTTATTAATTCAATTAAATTTATTTGAAAGTAAAAGTAAAACTAACCAAGATCAGTTACACCTTGAGAGATTCCTTGAACGAAAAATAGGATTGAGAGAATCACTAAATCATGAATAAGAGGTGTAACAACAAGAACTAAAATATGAGACAAAAAAACATTAAATAAGAAAGAAATCAATGAAAACAAACCAGTTGCTGCAATTAAAAATGATATTGATAATAAAAGTTC